TTTTTGACTTTATATTAATTATTCCCTTTCAATTCTCATGTATACCAAACATTGGAATTGAAATTCCAGTAATTCTATTCCTGTAAACCAAACACTGGAATTTAAATTCCACTTTATTCCCAGTAATTCATCTCCTATGGAATTGCAATTTCTTTCTCACGTAATTCCCCCTCTCGAACCAAACGCCCTGTTAGATGTGAAAAATAAAGTACCAAAGGGGAGTAAGGAATCTTTTTTGAATGCTCCTGGCTCTATTACAATGTAGTATCTGTTCATATATTTTCTCAACCTACTGAAACACAAAGAACTAATAACGCCTCCGCTGAGGTTCGAACTTACAACCTTCCAAATGGAAGAACAACCACCATAAAATAGAGTAAGGAATCTATTTTCATGAAATTTGAAGAATTCATTTTTAATGGAATAAATTATCCACGAACCAAACAATGTAAAATATGTTTTTTTTTCTCAAATATAAAAACGGAAACCTTTGATTAACAACATAGGTAAAATATGATATTAATGTGTCTGTTACAATTGATGTAACAACATATTTCGTTGATTTATATGAATGTAAAACCCTGCTATCTGAATGTGCATTATGGGTGAAGTCTATGTTTTGACTTTAGTCAGTAAAGGATCATATTGAGATAAATCAATATAATAATATATTTCTTTTAGTGTTTTGAAAACTTGAAAAATATTTTCTGAAAAATGATTTATATAAAATGACTCATTTTATGATAATAATTTAATTTTCAAATATTTGGATGAAGGCGGAAAACTATCTTCTTCTGTTTGGCTCAAAGTTAAGAAATTACATTTTTTTTATTTGGTTTATTTTTTAAAAAAATAACATATTATTTGTTATATAATAATAATAATAATAATAATAATAATAATAATAATAATAATAATAATAATAATAAGTGATGGTGGTGGTGGTGGTGTTTGTGGTTGTATTGGTGGTGGTTGTGGTGATTTGGTGGTTGATAAGTGTATTTATGTCCATGTTTCTATCACATATATATACCTATCTTGAGTGAAAGATACATTGATTTTAAGTAAAATGCCCCTTTTTCATTTGTTTATATCTTTAGGTGCATAAATTGTTGAATTGAAGACAATCATATGTCTTTCAGGACATTTTGAATGAATCTCGAGTCAATGGGAGCAAAGGTGAAACTAAGGAGGTGGCTAAAATACTTCAAAGGGAGCCAAAAAGTGTTACTTTCAATGGATGTGATCACAAGGACAAAACAAGACAAAAGTGGAGCAAAAGATCATAGAGTTGTAATTCCCACTCAATATGTCGACATGTATGTTAGTATTTCGATCATATATCATCCTAGAAAATGTCCAAATCAAGTGGTTCTTGCGCCATTGAAAAGAAACCTCAAATGGCTACAACTCTTATGAAGGCCTCAAAGTCTAGTTCTGAAGTTAAAAAGGATCAAAATCATCATGGACGACAGAGCTGCGTTGCAGAGCATTATCGACGCGTCGAGAATAATTCTGGACGCACCGAGAGTTGGCATAATGGTCCAGATTTCATTTTGTATTAGTTTGACGCAATGAGCCCATGCCTCAACTAAATTTGACATGTTCCTAAAGTTGTCTCTAACATTACGGTCATTCTATTAATTTTTTAAATTTATTTCAATATTTTAAATAAAATATTTTTTCAAATATGAAAAACCCGCCTGCCTCCCTGTCTTCGTCTCCCATCAGAGACAAAAAAAAAAAAAAAAAAAAAAAAAAAAAAAACAAAACAAAAAACAAAAAAACAAAAAAAAAAAACAAAAAAAAAAAAAACTTTTTTATTTTTTTTTGAATGCTACTAGCTCTATTACAATGTAGTATCTGTTCATATACTTTCTCAACCTACTGAAACACAAAGAGCTAATAACGCCTCCACTGAGGCTCAAACTCACAGTCTTCCAAATGGAAGTCCAACCCGGGTACCATTGGACCACATAGTCCTGGCACACCACGTTAGCGATAACATGAGGAGCATGTCAAATTTGGTCAAATTGTACAATTTTGGATAATTCAGTCATTTATACATCTAATTGTACTTTTTTTAGTTGATCGACCTAAATGCACTTTTGCATGTAATTCAGTAGTAGCTAATTTAAACCTTTTTAAAATTTAACTTTTTTCTAAATTATATAAATAAAAAAATATAAATATTAAAATAAATCACCCTACCCAACAACACTCAATGTTGTACTATGGATCAAAGTTCGATCACGTAATAAGTTGAATTATTGATACATGTCCATTTTTAGTATATTACTCCGTACTAATTTATTATAACTTACAATAAAACATGCATTAGATGGTCTATCTTACAATGTCAACTTAGGGGGCACAATATAATTTGCCTACAACACTTGGGCGGTTCATTGAGACTAAGTACATCCCATAATTCCCATTTATGCATTTTAATTTGGGTAGGTTTTTGAAAAAAGCAAGCTTATATGATGGAGAGAGGGTGAGGAGAGAGAGGGGAAAAAAATCCTTCAGGCAAGCACTTGATTTTTGGCAGATTTATGGGACCCACTCCAATATCTGATTAAGCAGCCCTGGTCGCGTGAAGCACAACCCACTGCCCACGTGTTAATGACGCTTTTCAATTTTTTTTTGTTTTTTTTTGGAGTGGGGATGGGGGTGGTGGTTCAGCTTTATTATTATTATTATTTTATCTTACCCTATTTTGTCTTTCCTAATTACATCTACAAAAACTCTTCAAAAATTATAACTATTATTGAAGATGCTCTAAGTAGCTATTTATACAATAATTTAAAGAGTGAATTAGAAGCCAAAAAAAAAAAAAAAAAAAAAAAAAGTGAAAACGAGATAGATATGTCGTGTTCTGGCACAACAAAATAATGAAGGGAGTGGTGTAAAAAAGCATTCATTTGTTGCTGACTCCCTGGTGGCAGTCAATTTCCCTGCAGGGCATACAGCAACTAACACATGTTTCATCAATTGTTTGTACCACCCAAGACAACCTTAACTCGTTCCTGCCATCTTCCATCTCAATTCTCAATTATGAGTGTGAGTGAGCCTCAATCATCACTCTTTAAGTTTCGCTTCTCCAAATTACAGTTTAATCCCCCACTTCAACTGCCCATATGTATTCAACAACAATGCAGAGCTACCAATTAATGCAATGCCCATGCAATAAATGCAACCGTATATATTCGATTATAGGAAATGTACAACTTTAAATTTAATAATATGATATCTTGGAAACACCGATAAAATAAGTAGCACATGATTTTTGTACTTAATACTCACAAGTTTAATGGGGTTTTCCTAGTACGGACTATTACTATACACAAAAAGTGCAATTTCCAATTCCCTTGTTACAAATATAAAAAGGAAAGAAAAATGATATATATTTAATCAATTAAAATATTTATTAAAAATTTCCTCAAAAAAAATATTTATTAAAATTTATATTTTTATTAATTTCTATTTAGATCATATGATATTTTTACATATGATATTGTTACAATTTTCAAAATTAATATATTTTACAACAATTACAAAATTTCTTCTTCTTCTCCTTAATTACCGGGAGAGGAAATACGTCAAACACACTACTAATTTCCCATCATATAATCTTCTATAGGGGTGTTAGCAAACATAGTTTTCGATAAACTACTCATGTTCGTGTTTAGTAAGCGTTCGTTTATTAAGGTAAACGAACATAAATAAACAAATTTTAGAGTTCAGTTCATAAATGAAGAGAGTCTGAATAGTTGTAAGCTCGTTTGCTAAATGCTCGTGAACAAGATCATTTGGTGTTCGTTTAATAACGTTCACGAACAAGCTCGTTTAGTGTTCATTTAATAATGTTTACGAACATGTTAATGAACAAGCAGTCAAGCATGTGTGTACTGTGATATATATATATATATATATATATATATATATATATATATATATATATATATATATATATATATATATATATATATATATATATATATATATATATATATATATATATATATATATATATATATATATATATATATATATATATATATATAGTGGCGGACCCAGAAAAATAGTTGAGTAGGTGTGAAGTTCAAATAATAAAAATTGTCTATAAGTCTATAACAAAATGTCAAAGCATCAAGATCTTCTAAATCGGGGACAGATCCATAAAATTTTTTTAGTGGGGCGGCGAAACATTAAAACAAAAGAGATGGCTTTAAAAAATGAAACACTTAAAGAAGTTAGCCATAAATATTGTTAGATATGAGCAAAAAATAAAACACATCAAAACTTTAATATTATTAGATATGAGCGAAATATAAAACAAATCAAAACTTTATAAAAAATATTTATAACAAAATAGGAGACATAATTAATTTGATAAAATAATTCTAATAGAAAACATATTATAAATTACACATCTCATTATTAATATAAAAGTATATATATCACCATTAATTTGTTTTTTGAAAGCCTCACCATTATTATTCAAATAGCCATAAAAACTACATTCACACTAATACGCCATAACACAAATTCAAACCCTTGACCTACAAGCAAATACATGCACTCAGCCATCTAAGCTAACCTATTTCTTGTTAACATTTGTTGTTTTCTTTTACTTATACTAAACCTTGTACTATATATATATATATATATATATATATATATATATATATATATATATATATATATATATATATATATATATATATATATATATATATATATATATATATATATATGGTGGTTTTCTAGTGCAAACCAATTATTTATGTGTGAACCTGTGCACCCATATGGAGCGTTGGTTATGTGCATCTGGCGGCACACGACGAGCGTCCACCCCGCTACGGTGCACTGGCACGCGTGATGATGGGCCATGCAAATATGTATTATTGGTTATTAGTGAATTCGACTCCAGTTACGACTCTTCCCCCTTGAATTCTGATATCAACACCGCTGAGAATCCCGGACACGATGGTAACATGGTGACGATGGAAACTCACGGTGATGGACACCCGACAGCTGGTGCGACAGAGCACGGTGTGACAGGTATTCTCCCCACCCCTTGTTCTCTTTTGTTGTGTTGTTGTCTAATCGCACTGCAACGTTTTTAACCCCTATCCACCCCGTCATCGATGGGTTCGCACAGTCACCGACATCTAAACAGAACCCGTATCCTCTCCCCGCCACCATTTTGAGTCGTAATCTTTTGCAAACATTTTTTACCGCCCCTCCAACACCCCCAGTTGAAAGCCCCAGAGTCCATAATCTCTTATTCCCCCCATCTGTTAAATGGTGTTTTAACGTAGAGTAAGTGTCCCCCCCCCCCCCCCTCCCCCGGTTTTGTGGGATCCTGTTCATTAGTTGTGCATTGCTGCATACTCAATTTAGGATGTTGATGTTGATGTACGTACCCGTTGGTTAACGTTTCTGTGTAAACAGGTTGTTCATCAGTTAATGAGTTTTTAACAATTCGACTAACGCAACAACTTGCTTTAACAATTCAACTAAAGCATTGCATTAAATTAGAATGCATCCTTCTAGCAGTACCTAATTAATCTCTTGACCTCTACAAATCTATTCTATAATATAAATATATTCTACAGAATAAATCGAAATATCAAATTAAGATATCTTGTAATTAAGTAATAAAATAAATCGAATGAAAAATTTGAATTGTTATTCAGTTCGTAGATAATTTCGTTATTCAGTTTATATAGTTATAGAATTATTAGAATTCTAGAATTAATGTTTTGGTGTGACTACTACTGGGTCAATTGACGGTGATTCAGGTACTAGGGATGTAACGCACTACTCGACGGGGAAAACCAACACCCTCAAACAACTGGAAGCCCAACGTGGACACTAAAATCATACCTGTACTTGAGCAGTATTTTAAATCACTATCCGAAGGGATCGAATTCTACAAGATCTACGGACGAGCTAGTGGTTTTGACGTCAGGCACAACAGTGTTAAGAGAGATCCTAGCGGAGAAATTATCCGACGTTCTTTAGTATGTAGCAGACAATGAGCCAAAGGAGGTGGTGGGAGGAAACCCACCTAAGACGTTAGTGGTACTAGTAGTAGCAATAAGCAACGACGGAGAAGGGTTTCTAATAGAGTCGGGTGCAATGCGAAGCTTGGTTTGAAGAAAAATAGTAGTGGGGAGTTTGTGGTGTCTAAATTTGTCGAGGACCACAACCATAGTTTGTGCTCTGAGGGTGAAAAATTATTTATGCGGGGTAACCGAAAACTTAATGTAGCCTAACATGCATTTTTAGCAAATTGTATTAAAGCTAATGCGGGCCCTTCTACAGGGTTCAGATTATGCAGGGAAGTAGCAGGTTTGTTTGAGAACGTTGGTGCAACATATGTGGAGTTTCATAATTTTAAATGGGACTTGCAAGCATATGTCGATGTGGTTGATGGTGAGATGATTATCGAAAGGTTCAAAACCAAGCGTGAAGTCTGTGACAGTTTCTTTTTCGATTGCCATCTCGACGAAGAGAACCGACTCACACGGCTCTTTTGGGCCGACCCTATTGGTAGGCGGAGTTTTTCCTGTTACAGTGACGTGGTTTCGTTTGATGCCACGTACAACATGAACAGGTGTGCAACGGATTACATTTTAACGGCATAGTAATAGGTTTGGTTTTTTTTTTTTTGTTTTGTTTTTTTTTTTACTTTAGTTTAATATCTCAGTCGTTAAGTTTGCCCATATAATGCCCATCCTACATTACTTACTGAGTAATAATTCACGGTTAACCCCCATATTGATGACAATACTTTTCATCTTTACTTGTTCACATTGCCTTCTAATTGTAGGTACAACATGGTGTTAGAGAGGATGTGGAATCGTATAGTTGGCTGTTAGAAAGATTCAACCGTGTAATGGGAAAGGCCCCTCTATGTGTTGTCACCGATCAGGACCCCGCTATGAAGATTGCTATAGAGCAGGTTTTACCAGGGTGCCGTCACCATTTTTGCATGTGGCACATTATGATGAAGGTTAGTGAAAAAGTCAGTCCTGGGTTATCAAACAATGAGGAGTTTCGCAAGAGTTTGAATGATATTGTGTGGAACGAAACAACCTCCACTGGTGACTTCGAGGTGCAATGGCGGCTATTGATGGAGAAATACAACTTATCTGATCAACGGTGGTTTCAGAAACTGTATGCAAAAAGGAATAATTGGATTCCACTTTTTTTAAAAAAATTTTCCAATGAGTGGGTTGGTACGCACCACATCCCGGTCCGAAGCACAGAACAGTGTTTATGGGAAGTTCACACGCCTCCACTCCAGTTTGGTAGAGTTCTACATATAGTTCGAGAGCGTCCTTGAAACTCAGCGCCACAAGCAAGCTAAACTGGATGCACAGTGCGAGGGGTCCTTGCCCGAGTTTAGAACTCCCTTGGCATTAGAGCGGCACGCTGCAGATTTGTTCACACTAACTATTTTTTTACGCTTTGCAGAAAGACCCAAAAAGGAACCTAGCACCGTAATTCGTCATACGCATGAGTTATCATACTAGTGCGCGGCAATGAGGTTTTTTAGACACAAACCTGGGGAGATGTTGTGGCCACATCCGATAGTAAGCCCAGGTTTCGCTCTAGATTCTTCGTTGCCAAGTCCTGTGTGATCCCAAGGCTAAAACTAGGAGCATTAACGCCCCCGATAGTGTCCTTCGCCTTCGCCTCCAATCGGGCCAATTCCCTAAAGAATTATGGGTTATGCCACATAGGGTCGTCGTGGTGATCTGGCGTCGGGGCAGGGGGTTGTTGTACCTCTCCAGTTGCAGGTTCCTCAATTAAACCGAGCAACAACTTCGCTGCAGTGGCAACCCGATCGAAATCAGGGTGGTTACGAGCTAGATTGGGGTGTTGCCGTACCGTATCAACAACCCGTGAAGCAACTGAAAGGAGGTCCCCAGACATGGTTGCAAACTCCTCGTCAAATCCCTATATCAAAATTGTTTTCACCCTATAAAGTCAATGTTTACGAGGATAAAAGACACGCTGAGGGCGATAATATAACTAACATACCGTGTTGTTTGCCAAGGCGGCCACATGGGTCACTGGCTGTATCCCCGTGTTTCATTGTTCTTCTGGTCGGACTGCCCATGACATTGGCATCGGTGATACCGTAGTATTTAGATGGCCAGATGCATTCAGAGGTGCATCCACCTGACCGTTGTTGAACCCCCCTGTTGTAACCTCCCGACACTCCCGTGCTTTAATCAGCTCTGTGGTCCACCCGTCCAACACTGGGATTGACCTCGGGATATCCCGTGCGGCCACCACCACCCTATCAACATATAGCAGCTGCACCAAGAAGAATACCCACAAATTAGGACAAGATAATTCACAAGGTCATTCATGTATGCGTTTTAAAACAAAGACTTACAATTAGAAAGAGCAGTGGTCTCGTGAATTTGCGGTTGGTGTTCTTGGTCCAACTACCGTAGGTACTAACCAAGGAGTGCAAGAGATAGTCACACCAATCCAATTCACTGATCTTGTTACATCGCTAAACATGTGCACAATCTTCTGGTTTGCATACCCATTGGGGGTGCTTGCAATAAGCGTGCTTAAAACCACGACACTAAAATGCCGTTTAAATCAAACCCCCCATCTTTGAGCCCTAAAAGTAGTGTGCTCAAAGCCTTAATCGTGACCCTCCCTTTTTGTTGCTTTACCTTAGTCCTCCATTCTTGCAGGTCGCGCCCTACGACCTGGGGATCGCGCTCTATAATCGGTATTATACCATTCGGGAGCCCCAACACAGCTGCAACATCCTCCTTGGTTATTTTGATGATTCTTCCATTGCCCAAATCCAATTCCATTTTCGAGGGGTCAAAGCAAGTCACTAACCAATAGCCGAGGCGTAGTGGCAACTACTTGATGCGCAAACCCAGAAGACTCCTCATGCCAATACTGCTGACACCCTGCCTCTAACGTGGCGTTAGTGATTCGACGACCAGACGAGTTCCCTGGGCATCCCCCTCGTCTTGATCGGGGGGAACAGGCAGTCCTCGGGTCCAGGGACAGCACGTGGAGATCCTTCATACTCCACCACATCGTCGAGGCGCTGTGGCGTGGTGTAGAAGTCCTCGCCAGAATCACTTCGATCACCACTTACTACGACCATCTGTTGTGCATCCCCACCTGAGGTAACCCAAACGGGACAAGTGAGCATTAGACACCGTTATAATACATAGACCCTAATTTTCGCACACAGGGACGACCCCCCACTGGAAATTGCAACAAATGCACTAGAATTGGTTAAAAATATGGAAAACATATCTCAATCATGGTAGATACAACCTAAACACAGAACATAAGCTTAGCTTCATTATATACGTTTCTTCGTTATAATTGGTTAAAAATAGGGAAAACATATCTCAATCACGGTAGATGCAAACCAATCACAGAACATAAGCTTAGCTTCATTATATATGTTTCTTCGTTTGTTTAATGATATCTCACCCCCCCCCCCCCCCCCTACTATTTCAGCTACCTTTCGCACACCAAAGAAATCTTGTCAATATCTCAATTTCACTAGTTTTCAAAGCAATCTTGTCTTGTCCCGTTTTTATTTTTGATGGGTTAGTTTATAGAACATAAGCTTAGCTTCATTATATACGTTTCTTCGTTAGAATTGGTTAAAAATAGGGAAAACATATCTCAATCATGGTAGATGCAAACCAAACACAGAACATAAGCTTAGCTTCATTATATACGTTTCTTTGTTTGTTTAATGCTATCTCACGCCCACCACCCCCTACTATTTCAGCTATCTTCCGCACACCAAAGCAATCTTGTCCTATCTCAATTTCTCTAGTTTTCAAAGCAATCTTGTCCTGTCCCGTTTTTATTTTTGATGGGTTAGTTTATGCACTTGCTTTAACTAATATTATTGATTTATGGCGGTCTTTATTTAATTGTAATAAATGCATGCTTTAATTGATATATCACACTCTACATTTTGGGATCAGCTAGTTTCTATCAGGATTATATTTCAAAAGACCTTTTGCAACTCCTCTAGATAAAAATGTGGAAGAAAAGATCTTTAAAATAAAAAACCAAATTACCCCCTATAACTAAAATCAAGCTTCAGAATAAAGGATCAAAATACAGAATAGTCGTCATAATTCATTACAAGCCATCAACATGCAATTAATGCAAGTGCAAGTGTGCACCAATTTAATCATAAGATTTATTCTAGTTAATTATCTAAAATCAACCAATAGCAAACACATATGTGAAAGAGATACAAGCTAGAAAGAACCCTAAATGACATCAAAAGCATTGTCAGCAGTTTGCATCTTGATAAGTTATATACCCCGGGTCCGTGCCATCGCTTACAGTTGGGTCGAGGTCTCGCGGTTCGGGTCTTGACCTACGGGTCGGGGTCAGAGGTGACGGGTCAAACCCGAGATGGGTCAAACCTGCCACCTCGGTGGCCCTATAAAAGGGCCAAAGGCCCTCTAGGTGAGGGGATCTTTTCCCATTTGGAGCCATGAGCTCTCTCTCTCTCTCTCTCTCTCTCTCTCTCTCTCTCTCTCTCTCGTCTCCCTCTCCCTTCTCTCTATAATATAGACAAACATACAAATATTCATATGAATAAAAAGACCACTTTCATCTATTTCTTGTGTTCTTCCTTTATAGATTCATATATATATATATTCATTTAGTACATACAACCGACATCCGGGTGAATTAGTACTATCAAATGGCGCCGTCCGTGGGGACCGTGGCAAGAAGCTGTGTTCCGGCAATCAAAGAAAAAGCAAAGCAAGGGAGAGATTCTGGAAAGAAGATGTGGAAGAAGATCGGGAAATTCCGATGCAAGATTCAAACCCCGCTGATCAAGCTACAAGACCAAATTCCCCGACCATTGCACCACTTCATCTTTTCATTTTCTTTTTCCGTTTGCTACTCCTTGGTGAATTATGGATCTGATGAAGGAAGAGGTGAGATGTTTTTCAGCCATGCAATTTCCGGTCTGACGCCTGAGGGATCTGAGGCGAGGAATCCTCCCATGTATAGCCACCCCGTCTTCGTCAAGAAGCGGCTGTAGTGATGAGGTTCAACCCCCTCATTTCTCCGTAGCCTTTGCATGGAACGGGAGGAAAAAATCCTTCCAGTTAAAATACCAGAAGCTATCAGCATAGTAAGAAGAACGCATGCACAGCCGGAAACTCTAGCTCTGCCGACCACAGCCACCCCGCATCTCTTCAACGTCCGGCGATGATCAGGTCCATTCAGGGTGTGAAATACATCCACAGAGTTAGAGCATCGGCTTCTGAAGAGTGTCCAGGATCATGCAGATGATCCATCATCACCGGCGGGAAAACAATTGCATGAGACCCCGGCCCGGTTCACGCGTGGAATCATTAGCATAGCTACTGCAGCTGTGAGGCTCGGTTAGTTCCATCGCCGCCATCTACGCCATGCACCCAACTGGCGCTACACCATCATCTTCATTTTCAAAAATCATCATCTCCATCACCGCTTCGAGGGATGCGACGGAGGAACTCGTCTAACGCGGACACTGCCGCGACCCCAACCATTGTTACTGCCTCCGGGCCATTAGAGAAGAGGTCTACCGAAGTAATGTTTCTACGGCAGTCTCAAAGCTTGGATTTAGGGAATGGCAATGGCTTAATGTTGCATGCAATCCTATTGGTGGCAAACGGCGGTGGAGCGCAAAGCTTAAAATAGTGCGGAGATTAAGACTTAATTGTGGCCGCTTTTGGGTGATTGCATGTGATAGTGTATGATTTCAGATGTAGCAGGCAGATGGTAATTTTGAAAAGTGTGAGTGCATGCATGTCTATTGGTTATGGCTGGCGGTGGAGTGATGATAACGAGAAGGTGGAAGTACAAGCTGATTTCACTACTCAAAATCAGTTTATTATAATTTGTAAATTGTATTAATTGATTGTATTAGTCAGGTCCATAAATTAAAATGGGCCGAGGCATTTTAGATAGTAAGTTGTATATGCCCAACAACAAATTGTATAAGTTATGGGCCTATATTTAGAAAATTGTAATAGTTAGATTTAATTGTAATAAGCCCGGTTAGGTTGGTATTTCCACCACCGGCACTTAGAGCCCGGTCAGGTCGGCCCCGTCACCACCGGCATTTTTAAAGCTCGGGAAAAGCCCCTGCACCAAGCCCTACCACGTAGGCAATTTCGGGTCTCCGGACCAATCAGACGAGGCTCCGACTTACGACCGCAATGTCGTTAAACTTCTTTCCGGTCACCGATCGGTGATGGCAATAGCCGCCCGACAACCGCAATGTCGTTAAACTTTTTTCCGGTTAAAGCCGGTGAGGGCAATAGCCCGGTAGCAAGACCACGCCCTGAGTTCGCCCGGTCGCTAATTCCACTACTACACGCCCTTATACTTAAGTGCGTACGACAGTGGGGGGCTGGACAGGGTAGGGCGACAGTCGTTTGATGAGCGGCCGGATCAAATCGTCTACTTGAGTGACATACTAGTATGTGGATCGCCTGAGGCCATGCGCCCGGTCAGTACCTAGGGTAACATACTAATATGTGGATCGCCTAAGGCTGTGCGCCCGGTCGGTTTATTGGTATGGAGGTCGCCTGAGGCCATGCGCCCGGTCAGTACTTAGGGTAACATACTAGTATGTGGGTTTGGACCGAGTAGGTTGGCACTGCCGCCTCCGGTGTCCCGAAGAAGGCATGCTGGCGTGGGGGTCACCTGGAGGCTATGAGCCTGGTCGTCTAACGCGCTTTTCCACCTCGAGCAGGTCGGCACTACCACCTCCGATGAGAAAGGAAAGTGAGCCACGAGCCTTGTTAGACCAAGTAGGTTGGCACTGTCGCCTCCGGTGTTTCTAAAGACCAGTTAGGTTGGCCTCGCCATCACTGGCACTCTATGACCGGTTAGGTCGGCATTGCCACCACCAGGGCTATGAGTCCGGTTATACCAGTTGATACCGCTTTTTAGCGATGCCGCTTCTCAGCAATGTATATACCGCCTCTTGGTGATGCCGCTTCCTAGCGACGTGTATTCTGCTTCTTAGCGATGCCGCGTTTTAGCGATGTTGTTTCCGCTTTTAGGCGATGCCGCGCGATGTATTTATTCCGCCTCTTAGCGATGTCGCGTTTTAGCGATGTTCTTTCCGCTTTTAGGCGATGCCGCGCGATGTATTTATCCCGCTTCTTAGCGATGCCGCTTTTTCAGCGATGTATATACCGCCTTTGGGCGATGTCGCGCAATGTATTTATTCTGCCTCTTAGCGATGCCGCGTTTTAGCGATGTTGTTTCCGCTTTTAGGCGATGTCGCGCAATGTATTTATCCTGCTTCTTAGCGATGCCGCTTTTTAGGCGATGTATATACTGCCTTTGGGCGATGCCGCGCGATGTATTTATCCCGCCCGCTTCTTAGCGATGCCGCTTTTCAGCGATGTGTTTACCGCCTCTTGGCGATGCCGCTTTTCAACGATGTGTTTACCTTCTTTGTGCGATGTTTTACCGCATTTTTAGCAATGTGTATGTACCGCTCGTTAGCGATGTCGTTCCCGATCGTCGACGTAGTAGTTGTAGTCGGGTGCACTCACATCGCGGACCTGGTCGAGTCATTTCCGGACCGCGATGTCGTTTCCCGATCGGCAACCCGTCATATTCACTCCCTTGTGCTGACGATTCTTGCACCTGCGGGAGTGGGGGCTACACCGGTCCAGTAACTTGTCTGCGTTTTAGTTTGCCCGAGTAGCACGTTTATCGGTCAAAACGGTCGAATCGCGTTCATTTCCCCCGTGTAACGTTTCGCTCGGCTAAATCCAGTCTCTCGATCGTAAACAAATCCAACCCCGTAGTTGGTTAAATAGATCCCCAGATCGCGGTCGAATCGGCAACCCGGTCGTTGAACCGGTTGAGTTCGACCCTTCGCAAGTTGCGTTGCAAGTCCGACCACTGTGTTTAGCGTTGTACTCTTTTTCCCTTGGCTAAAGTTTTTCCCACTGGGTTTTTTGTTAGCCTAAGGTTTTTAACGAGGCAACCGGCATATGTCACGGATCGTGTAACCAGTTTCCAGCCCGAACCCTTCCTCGTTAACTCGTCGTCAGAGCACGGGCTGTGGAGGCTTTATGATAAGTTATATACCCCAGGTCCGTGCCATCGCTTACAGTCGGGTCGAGGTCTCGCGGTTCGGGTCTTGACCTACGGGTCGGGGTCAGAGGTGACGGGTTAAACCCGAGATGGGTCAAACCCGCCACCTCGGTGGCCCTATAAAAGGGCCAAAGGCCCTCTAGGTGAGGGGATCTTTTCCCATTTGGAGCTATGAGCTCTCTCTCTCTCTCTCTCGGCTCCCTCTCCCTTCTCTCTATAATATAGACAAACATACAAATATTCATATGAATAAAAAGACCACTTTCATCTATTTCTTGTGTTCTTCCTTTATAGATTCATATACATATATATTCATTTAGTACATACAACCGACATCCGGGTGAATTAATACTATCACATCTAAAATGGACATGCATATAGAAGCTGATCTTTAATATCTTTCAGATTATATTCTGATTACATACAAAAAAGATCAATCAGAAAAACAAGTTAAACACAAAAACATAATCGAAGCTTAGCTAAATTATATACGTTTCTTCCTTTGTTTACTCCAATCTCACACCCACCCCCCCTACTATTTCTTGATTTAATTGTACTAATTGCATGCCTTAATTGACATAGCACATTCTGCATTTTGGGATTGGGTTGTTTCTATTAGCCCTGGAAAATTGTTTCACACTGACAGCCCACAACCAAATTTGAATAAAAATGAATTCTAAAACATGAGAAACAGAGTTAACCTTTGTGAGCCCTCCGAAGAGCCGACCGTGTCCTTGCACCGACCCTAGACGGGACTCCCAACACTGCACATTCGACGATCCCTCGCAAAGACGACCGCGGAGGACGGAAGCCTGACCGCCGCTTGAATGGGCGGTTCCCCACCGTGAGTTTGCGTGAACCAGCTGATGGCGGCGTCGTGGGCGAGAATGCGCGCCCAGACCTACCCCACTTCGACCGGCAAGAACCACTTGATCGCACAATGAGTTATCGCACAATCGGCCGACAATAGAGAGATGAACGCAAAGATGTGAACTAACGCACAATCGGAAGGCAAATATCGATACAAACGAGAGAATAGACAAGTAGAATTCGAATCGGTTACGTCCACGTAGATCCCAAAGTCCAATTCCAAACAAGCCCCCCAAGAGATGCACCACTGACGTGCGGTGCATTCGACTAGCATGCACCCTCACCCACGACCACTGATCACCAAAAAATGGACGCGTATACCGCACGTGCCTATGAACAAAGAAAATTGAATTATATATTTTAAAATTCAAAATTATGTTACAAGTAGTATCAATATGGTATGGGTACAAGATCTCTGAATGGTGTTCCTTCAATTGGATGCCTTGAACTCCATTGAAGGGCCTCTGGAATTCAAGAGGCTTGATGCTTATATGTTTCTTAGAGGTTTGGATCAACATGATTGTCATGATCTTCATGGAGGGTTTTTTATTTTTATTTTTATTTTTATTTTTTTTCAGGATCATTTTATTGTGATCTCCCAAGATGATTTTTAGGATTTTTAAATGATTTTTCCTAAGATGAATGAGAGTTCCTATTTATAGTTAGGATACGAAGAGTTTTGATAAGTTCAAACTCTTTTGATATTATCTAATTAAACGAATTAGACCTGATAAATTATCATTTTAGTCTCTCAATTGTCAATGTAATCCATAGTTTCAATTTCAACCAATTTGATCATCGAATTATTTAAAATTTCATCAATTAAACCCTTTTAGGGACCAAATTGACGAAATTATAAAAATGTGAAAATTACTATTTTAGTCCCTGTAAGGATTTATTTGACGAAATTTTACAATTTGATAATTAAATTGGTTAAAATTGAAAATTAGGGACTACATTGACAATTGTGAAACAATTGAGGAATCAAAATGGTAATTAACTCAATTAGATAATATCAATAGTATCCAAAATATATTTGTATATTTTAATATTATTTTTATCAAATTTTCAATATCAACAATGCCCCTTGGACGCGTAAACAAAAATAGACACGTATCTTGCATGTGCCCGTTAGTCGTTAGATGTGTAAACCAAAATTAACTTTTTTTTTTCTCCTTTCTTTCTCCTTCATTTCTCTCATACTTGATAACAAAAACTTTGGACAAAATAACTTCATTATATTGTTTAGGTTGTTCTAAAATCTTAACAAAACTAATGAATGTCATGAGTATATGCAATTAACCATATTTCAAATTCCACCCATAGAAACTGAAGTAGAATGAAAACCAAAGAAAAGGTGGAAGTCTATTCTTAGTAAAGCATCAAAGTCAAATCCGCACGCTACCTTCCTAACCAAGTCAACTCAACCCGGCCCAACCACGAAACTTGTCGGGGCTGTTTTGCTATTACCGCATTCTCGGGGCCCCATCTTGCAAATAACATAAATTCCCAGTCCAGTCGCATTCGACATCTCACCACATCCGAGTCATCGCAACGCCCTCCGCTGGTGATGTTATCAAAGCCCTGCCCGATCTGCCCGAAGCTGCCCGGTTTCGCTTTCTCATTTCTCTCTCTCTCTCTCTCTCTCTCTCTATTTATATACCCAACCCAAGTACCAAGAACACCTTTCCTCTTTTGCCGTATACGAGCCATCACGACATCTACATACATATATATATGCTAATATATATAATTATACGGTATTTATTTATTTTGTAAAATCTCTCTCTCTCTCTATATTTCTCTCTCTCTATATCTCTCTGTCTCTCGATCCTGCGTTTTCTGAAAAAAAATTTCTGTCGTCCTAGGTCGAACGATTTCAAAGGTATGTGTGATTGCGTGTAATTTGAAACGTCTGTGTGAGTAGTTGTAGGCTTGTTTTAAATGAATTGATTGGATCTGGAATTTCTTAATTGGGAGTTTACTGGTGCAGATCGGAGAATTAGCGGTGGAGTTGGAATTCAGGTGGGGGAGCTAGGGTTTCTGTGGAGCCGTGGGCGATCGAAGCTTTTTTGCGAGGTGAGAATTGGGATATCTAGGGTTTTTTTTTGGGGGGTCCGGGTGAGGAGAAAATTTTCGATTTTTCTAGGGTTTTGGTGAGGGGCTGATTGGGAATTAGGAATTAGAATTAGAATTGGGTAATTGATGTTTCAGGGTGAGTGGGTAAGACGAGGTGTTGAAGCAAGACTAGGAGAAGATGCAAGGGAATTGTTATTATGCATGGGAGGCAACAGCGGGGAGGTGAGCCTTGTCGACGGAGGAGTTTCGGTCAACACATGCCGGCGACGACCGCGAGGACTGTAGCCGCCGTTGATTCGTCTCGTACTTCTGCTATTACTGCTGATTCGTTCTGCAAGGTATTGCCTTGGTGGGTTTTTGTTTTTTTCCTGAATTTCTACACCTATCCTCTTGTGCCGTTAGAAATTTTTGATTCATTTCACATGGCAGCTAGAGTGCTTGTTCCTTTTGTTTTTTTTTTTCCCCCAAAATATTAGTATACGCACACCTTATCTTCTGTTTTTTAATATATACTGAAAGCTGAAGAATTGGATTGTTTATTTGTATATGTCATGTAGAAACGAGTGGCAAATTCCTTATTAGTGATCTTGAGGCACTTTGGGTTCTTTAGTGGGCCTGGACTTCTGATGCCATTTTGGTCAGGATTTTTTTTATCCAATAGGGGTTGATGGATTAATTTCAAGATTTTTTTTTTTTTTTTTTTTTTTTTTTTTTTTTTTTTTTGTGTATACCATTCTGTGCATAAAGGGTAGAGCTTCCTCTCTGATTATCTCAGTGATTCAATTTTTGAATGTGGTACAACTTATTTTGAATTGCATGGAGCCATCAATTCTTATGTACTTGTACATCTTGGTGTCCTTGATGCCAAGATATGAGTTTCAAATTGTCTCTTTGTGCCTCTGCTTATTTCTTAGCTTGATTGTTGTGATCAGTATTTTTAGCAGAACTGAGATTTTTTGTTGCCAAACGTCAGCAGTTTAGCCTAATTCCCCATAACATGACAAGGTCATGTATCCTATTTCTCTTCTCCTTTCCCTCGTGAAAATATACGTTTTTTTTTAAATCAAATTTATCAAATATCAACCATTTTGTTGTCTGGCAGTGATCATTTATTCATTTTTTAATGTAAGTGTCTTTCCTTCCCCCTTTTCTTGGAGGGACAGGGATGTATGAGAGGATCTTCTAAAATTTATTTCTTAAAAATTATCCATTGATCTCACTTACTGCTTTATTGTATGATCCTTTTAGATTTCCCTTTCCTGATTTGTGAGAGGAGTTCATTCTGGCTTTTATTACACATTTAGTGAAATTATTGAGCTAGACAAATGCTATTTACGGAGTAACATTTATTATGTTATTATTATGAGCTTGGCTTTAGTTAGCTTTAATAATAGCCTTGATGGGTTTTCTTTGGGAGGAGGCATATGAGAACTGATAAACTATATGAAAGTCAGTTTTTGAAGTGCTCCACCTATAAGAGCACATTCTTTTTTGTGATTTCATAGATGTATAACCATGCAGGTGCCACATGGACAATTGCTTCTGTTCATTGGAATCTTTAACGGAATATCATTTCTTTTCAAGTTTGTATGACTTATATGTACAGTTGTACACTTGTTGCTTGTATGCATTTATAATGTTGATTCGAGGCTACACTTCTATATTTGGATCACTTCTAATGTGGATAACGAACATTATCTCCTTTTCATCCTGCAGGATGGTCGCAAGATCTGCGTTGGTGATTGTGCTCTTTTCAAACCACCACATGATTCCCCTCCTTTCATTGGAATAATCCGTTGCTTAATCTCAAGTAAAGATAATAACTTGCAGTTAGGTGTTAATTGGCTTTACCGACCAGCTGAGCTGAAGCTAGGCAAAGGCATCCTGCTGGACGCCGCGCCAAACGAAATTTTCTATTCTTTTCATAGGGATGAGATTCCTGCTGCATCATTACTCCATCCGTGTAAAGTTGCCTTCCTTCCTAAAGGGGTTGAACTTCCAACAGGGATATCTTCATTTGTTTGCCGCCGAGTTTATGACATTGCAAACAAGTGTTTGTGTTGGCTAACTGATCAAGATTATATTGATGTTAGTCCCTATTGCTTGACAGCTCATCTTTCCACTGCTTAAGTTACTCACTAGTTTGAATATGTTTGGGAAAGATATGGAGGTTTGGAGTGAGGGTGGGGGTGGGATAGGCTGAGGGGTTCCAGAGGGATGGAGGAAAGTGGAAAAGGGACTTCAAGTCCACCTTATTGTTAAATTAGGAAGGAGAAGGGGAGAGGGAGGGATGTTTGCAATGCTGACTACTTTGCTAAAACTATTTTCCTTATTTTGCTTCAATTTTTCCATTTTATAATTTAGTTATTCAATTTTTTGCAGGAGCTACAAGAAGAAGTAAATCAACTCTTACACAAGACTCGAGTAGAAATGCATGCATCATTGCAACCTGGCGGTCGTTCTCCAAAACCAATAAATGGTCCAATGTCCACATCACAATCAAAATCTGGTTCAGAAAATGTGCAAAATAATGTAACATCATTTCCTTCACAAGTTAAGGGAAAGAAAAGGGAACGGGGAGATCAGGCTTCAGATTCTGTGAAGCGAGAGCGTTCTTTGAAAGCAGATGACAGTGATTCTGGTCTGTACAAGACAGAAAGTGCTATAAAATCTGAAATTGCAAAAATAACAGAAAGAGGAGGGCTTGTAGACTCGGAAGGAGTTGACAAACTAGTTCAACTTATGCAACCAGATAGAGGGGAGAGGAAAATGGATTTGGTTTGTCGGTCACTGCTTGCTGGAGTGGTCGCTTCAACAGAAAAGTTTGACTGCCTTAACCGGTTTGTGCAACTCAGGGGATTACTGGTATTGGATGAGTGGCTTCAAGATGTTCATAAAGGGAGAATTGGTGATGGTAATCCAAAGGATGGTGACAGACAAGTGGAGGAATTTCTTCTGGTTTTGCTTCGTGCACTTGATAAGCTCCCTGTGAATCTTGAAGCACTAAAAATGTGCAACATTGGCAAATCTGTTAATCATTTACGGTCACACAAGAATATGGACATCCAGAAGAAAGCTCGTGGCTTAGTTGACACATGGAAGAAACGTGTTGAGGTTGAAATGAATATGATTGATGCTAAATCAACTCAAGGTGTTGCATGGCCTTCTAAATCACGCATTCCTGAAACTTCTCACAGTGGTAACAAGAATCCTGGTGGTTCCAATGATGTTACTCCAAAGAGCTCAGTGACGCAGATCTCCTCTAAAACTGCTTCAATTAAGACTTCACAAGTGGAAACTACTGCAAAATCTGCATCTTCTTCACCTGGGCCAGTGCGATCTGCATCATCACCTGTACCTGGGAAAGATAGTCAGGCTAGAGTTTCACTTTGCGGTGCTTCAGATGTTCCTCTAATGAGGGAGGATAAGAGTAGCAGTTCTAGTCAGTCTCATAATCATAGTCCATCTTTCTCTGGAAAAGAGGATGCAAGGAGTTCTACTGCAGGATCAATGAGTAGCAATAAGCTCTCAAATAGCAGTTCTCGTCATCGCAAGGCAATCAATGGATTTCCTGGGACATCTGTATCTGGAAGTCAGAAAGAAAACGGTACAGGCCGAAGCACTTCTCTGCATCGGAATTCTAACCCTGAAAAATTATCCCAGACTGCACCGGTGGGTGATAAAGCTGTTGATGTGTCAGTTGCTGAAGGGAGCAGTCACAAGTTGATTGTTAAGATACCAAATAGGGGACGCAGTCCTGCACAGAGTGCAAGTGGAGGGTCTTATGAAGAACCTAATATTATGAATAGTCGAGCTTCTTCTCCAGTGGTTTCAGAGAAACATGAGCACTTTGATCAAAATGTAAAGGAGAAGAGTGATGTATATCGTTCTAATGTAACATCTGATGTGAATGCAGAGTCCTGGCAAAGTAATGATTTCAAAGATATATTAACTGGATCTGATGAGGGTGATGGGTCACCTGCTGCTCTTCCTGATGATGATCGAAAGGATGAGAGGAAATCAGGTGAAGTATCAAAGATTGCTTCCTCATCTTCTGGAACTGAACTGAAGTCTGGGAAACTGCACAATGCTTCTTTCAACTCCATGAATGCTTTGATTGAGAGCTGCATTAAATATTCTGAAGCAAATGCATCGATGTCACTTGGCGATGCTGTTGGCATGAATCTGCTAGCCAGTGTGGCCACTGAAGAAATGTCAAAATCTGATGTGCATTCACCTTCTGTTTCCTCACAAAGAAATTCTCCTGTAGTTGAGGAAACTTCTATGGCTGAGGATTCCAGATCCAAACCTCTACCCCTTGATAGCTTTGCAAGTGACAATAGTCAGAGGAATGATAATATGGATTGTGATAATAAGAAGCAGCTTGTTGCTGCTTGTAGTTCATTGTCACAGGATAAATTGCATTTGACCACATTTTCTGCACCTGAGTCATTCGGAGAGAGAAAGCTCAGTGTGTCTCCTGAACTTGTGAAGGCTGGGGAGAAGAGTGGTAAGAACTTTAGCTCTTCTTTTATTGATACTAAAGTTGTTGCAGAACCTAATGTGGAGATGAATGACAAGTCGGGTGAGAGGAACCAATCAGTGTTATCACCAACCATTGGAGCGGGCAAGGCATATGATGGTGAATCGGACAAAAAATTTGATGTGGGCAAGTCAGTTGTGGGTGATTCAAGGCTTGATGGCATTCCTGATTCTAAAATGGGTGACATTGATACTTCGTTAACAGAGGACAAAGCAAGTAATGCACTTGTAAGCTTGGGTGACCAAAAGAGATTGGGTGAGGTTTCATCTTCAGATTTTCCGTTTGAAGGTAGCAACAAAAAAGATGTGAATAGAGGGTTGAATGAAGAGGTGAAATCACCTGCAGCAACCGCAGATTCTGAAGTGAATGAGAGACCTATAAAGGAAGAGCAGTCAACAATCTCTAGTAGAGATATGAATACAGATAATGGAGGGGATGATGAAAAAGTCCACCCATATCTTAATCAGTCTGAAAGGAGAACATATGATAAAATACATGATGGAGCTCCAGCACCGGTGGATAAAAACATAGTCAGTTTGGATTCTACTGTTAATAATTTGAAGACTGAATGTAACGAGCGCCATGCTGAATCTAAGGACAGGCAGCTTGATTCTGGTGGATCACCATCTCAGAATGAAGGGCCTGGATTTTCTGGCCTTGTAGTGGAGAAACACATTGGATCAAGAGAATCCAAGTTCTCTCGTGTTGAATCAGACAAAACAAACAATCCAGTTTCCAATGGGGTGACCTCTGTTGCTCCAGAAACAGCTTCAAAAATGAAATTTGATCTAAATGAAGGTTTTGTTTCCGATGATGTGAAATGTGGTGAGGCAATAAGCTCATCAGTCACTGGGTATTCATCAGGTGTTCATGTAATCAATCCATTACCATTTTCTGTTAGTTCTGTGCCCACTGGTCTCCCAGCTTCCATTACTGTGGCTGCTGCTGCCAAAGGCCCTTTTGTTCCACCAGAGGAGTTACTGAGATTCAAAGGTGAAAAGGCTGAATTTGGATGGAAAGGTTCTGCTGCCACAAGTGCATTTCGTCCAGCTGAGCCCAGAAAACTGCTTGATACACCTTTTAGTTCAGTGAGTATATCTCATTCTGAAACTTCATCTGGTAAACAAAATCGTCCTTGTTTAGATATTGATCTGAATGTACCAGATGAAAGCTCTTTAGAGGACTTAGGATGTTCTGCTCTGGAGATTGGTTATATGTCTAACCATCCAAGTAAACGTGATGTACATAAGAAGGAAGAACCAAGTTCTCCATCTGTTCGTAGTTCAGGAGGGCTTGATCTTGATTTGAATAGAGCTGACGAGCCTAACGATGTGGGGCAGTGCTCAGTTAGCAGTAGTCATATGTTGGGGGGACCAGTTGCACTATCCAAACCATTACCATCTAGTAGGCTAGCTGGTGAGGTTAGAAGGGACTTTGATTTGAATAATGGACCTGGTGTTGATGATGCTAGTGTAGAACAGTCTTTATTCCAGCAGACTAGTCGTGGAAGCATGCACCTTCAGCCAGCTACTTCCAGCCTCAGAGTGAACAATCCAGAAATTGGGAATTTTACTTCTTGGTTTACTCCTGCGTGTGGGTATTCAGCAGTCACAGCTCCGTCAATATTGCCTGACCGCGGAGACCAGCCATTTCCAGTGATGCCCCCTGGTGGACCACGTATTTGTCCTGCCCCTGGTGGTAGCACATTTGCTCCTGATGTCTATCGAGGCTCAGTTTTGTCGTCTTCCCCTGCAGTCCCTTTCCCATCTGGTTCATACCAATTTCCAATGTTTCCTTTTGGGCCCACCACCTTTCCTCTCCCATCAGCAAGTTTCCCTGTTGGATCTGCCTCTTATATCAATTCCTCATCTGGTGGAAGAATGTTTACTGCTTCTGTCAATTCACAGTTGTTGGGCCCTGTCAGTGCTGCCGCTCCTCAATTTCATAGGCCTTACATGGTTGGCCTTCCAGACACTACTAGTAATGCCAGTACAGACAACAATAGAAAATGGCCCAGACAGGGTCTGGACCTGAATGCAGGTCCTGGATCTATCGATATTAATGGAAGGGATGAATCAGTTCCATTGGCTCCGAGGCAACTATCTATCACTGATCCACAAGCACTAGCAGAAGAACATGGAATATACCCAATGGCTGGAAGCATCCTGAAGAGGAAGGAGCCTGATGGAGGGTGGGATAATGATAGCTTCAGGTACAAGCAATCGTCATGGCAATGATGGTGCATATAAATTCTGCAATCTGCTGAGAGCTGCAGTAAGTTCTATTTCCTTCTGGTCTCTGGATTATTATTACTACAATTTTTTAAAGAACTTATCATTTATTGCTCCTCTGTTAGATAGCCAGTCTTTTGAAACACTGCATATTGTACTAATGTAAGTAATTATAGTTTCTGGTGGTGGGGGATGGCCGGTGGGGGCATTCACACCTCACTAACATAATCTTAGACACCAGTGAAGAAAGAAAATTCTCTCTATCTCCCCCTTCTTCCAAGTCTATCTCAAGTATCAACTGCTCATATTTCACCTTTGTCCTTGTTATTGTGTTGTGAATGGATGTAAGACTCCACGAAAGCATATTTTCTGTGATTTAAATGATTGCTGGGGTTCTCAAAGATGGAAGTCATACGCTTATAATTCCCTGCCCCCCACCCCACCCATCTTCTCTTCCTTCTTACCTACTTACCAGTTTGTGTGTGTTTTTCTTGTAGTCAAAGGGGATTGGATGGTGGCCACCTTGAAAGCAAGATCTTCTTGTGGGTGGGTGGTAACAAGCAAAGTTGATGCATGCAGCAGCCTCTTGGATTCCCGCCACTTCTGGATCTCGATGAAGTTGTTGGGAGTTGCGAGAGAGAGCATACAACTTAGGTCTTCGGCTATCTCGTTTCTTGGTGGGTGCAGATGTGTTTTCCCTCTGTAGATATTTAACTGTTGGAAAACTTTTAAAATCTGTGACCCAGAAAAACAGGAGAATTAGTGGCTTAGTGCCCCCTTTAGTTGAATACAGCAGCAGCAGCATAAAACAAAAAAAAAAATGACCTTTGACAGAAATCTGGTAATTGGGTTGGAAACCGGGTCTGAAAGCCATCTTGTATGCACTTTGTCCTTAATTATCTTTGCTCCTTTCATGGCTTTTGCTGTCTTTTCTCTATTAATATCATCTCTCTCTCTCTCTCTCTCTCTATCTATTTATAATAAGCGCAGGGTGACTGGATTTTGGTTCTAATGGTTTCTTTGTACATTTTTCTTATACCCTGGATTTTGGTTCTAATGGTTTCTTTGTCTGACATTTTTCCTAATGGATAAAGCTCGCTTTACTTCAATAACAGCTGATTGCAGATACTTTCTGAGATACAGGAAGCCTCTTCAAAGTTTTGTATGCTGGAAGCACTCTGTTTCATTATGAAGAAGAAAAGAAAAAAAAAAACAGTTGAATCTATTACCCGTAAAGTTTTGTTCTCTGATTGTTATACATGAATCACATTTGGTCTTTTTCTAATTATGTGCATTTTTATGTGTCGACTACTGTTGGAAGTGCTTCTGAAATAAGTAAATGCATGTAGTGGTCCTTCTGGAAGAAGCAAATGCATTGCTCTTTCTAGAAGAAGCGCTTTCAGCAATAGTTGATCGAAAAATTAGATGATATAATCAAATGTGATACAAATTATATAGTAATGCACATAATTAGAAAATTTTAATAATCAAGGACTAAATGTGATTCATGTATATAGTGAAATTGTTTCAATTGATAATTACTGTAAGAATATGGCCATGGCGAGTTTCCTTCTACAATTGTTAAAATATTAGTTGTTTATACTTTATAGAACAATGAACGAGAAAATATTGTTTGAGGTTTTAGCCTTTTAGGTGCCTGTTTCCCCACTCAGTCCATCTGATCCAAAAAATAAATTGAGAAAAAAATTACATTTTGGTCATTAGAAAATTGTAAATTTAGTTTTGGTGTTATGACTTCCTTTTAGTCTTTGAGTTATTAGTGATTAGTGAAGTATTGTTTTTGTCCTTCCAAAAGCTCCGTTAATGGACTTGACCTTTTAATTTTTTTATTACTAATTCATAAATCTTAGTTAATCAAGATTGCTAATGAAACCTTCACCCCTGTTTTTATTTTGCATGTAAATAGCATTCCAACTTTGTACTTATTGTTGACTTTTAAAAATTTAATGGATGCCAATAATTTATACCTTTGCATTTATAACTACTACGAGTACATTGTATTAGAGTGTGATTTGAAAACCCAGCAGGGTAGCTCAAGTGGCAGATGAGCTCTCTTTGTGGGGGAGAATTTCGGGATAATCTGGGTTCAATTCTCAATTCCCTTTGAGCCAGCTTCTGTGCCTCTTAGAGCGAACTAAACGAACAGACAAAGACCCGGACCATGCTGTGGTTTACATAAAAAAAGAAAAAAAAGAGTGTGATTTGGTAAAAGATGAGATGTATGAAGTAAAATTGTACTAGTAATTTTAATTAATTAAAATTTTAACAAAAAGATTAAAAGCACCACTAATAATGTAATTTCTTTATATTGATGAATAATTGGTAATTTTAATACAATAATTGCAGTTTAGTAAATTTTCTTTATTCTTTATATTGATGAATAATTGGTAATTTTAATACAATAATTACAGTTTAGTATTGTGACGGGGAGGTAGAGAGTGAGAGAGACATAATTCATAGTTAGATGATGGGGGCATGATCATTGCCCCTATTTTTATTTTATTTTTCAAAAGTTTATTGGTCACGGAGCTAGGTTGGGCTAGTTCAACCAATGAAAAAAGAAAAGAAAATGATAGCCTAATCCAAATTGTAGTATAGATTGAGCCATCCCTAGTCTAAGCGTTGTAGCAACGGCAATTTATATCCTACACCACGGCGCGCGTTGCACTATGCGCCCAGATGCAAAACGACGTCGTTTTAATTATTATTTTTTTTTTTGAAATTTCCCGCCCCAGTGAATGACAGTAGTTTTTTCTTTAAAAAAAAAAACCCGCTGTTCAAGAATGTACATAATGTTATACTAGAATACACATAATGTTATACATGAATGTACATAATTATATATCAAAATTTTACATACTCTTTTTAAAAGATAATACACATAATCTAACATAATACATAATAAACATAAACTTTTAACATAATACACATCAACTCTTAACATAATACACACAAATTTTCTGATTCGGATGTACATAATTGTATAAAAAGAATGTACATAATTGTATAAAAAATACACATAACTGTATGAACCAATACACATAACGTTGTGAACAAATACACATAATCTCAGCAACTTCCTACCGCGCCTCCCAACACTACCCCAAAACGACGTCGTTTTGGGAGACGCGCGACGCACAGTACTATGTGCGCCGTGGTGGAGGATATAACGATTGTGTAGCAACTAGGTCGGCCAGAGCTAGCCAAACGGGCTGGACTTGGAATTGCTTTCAAACTAACACACCAATTTGACACATTGACTAGGAGCTACAAGGCAGCCTTTGATTGGTAAAGTACCAATGAATTAGCTTTTAGATCTTCAATATACAAGTGGAAAGCTCTATTTACATTATGTAGGGAATGATGTGTTACTTACGAGTTTGACTTACATGCTTTGGTTGGATACTTAGGTCAATTATGTTACATGAAAGTGGTTAATGTGATGTTTGATGAAGTGGTGACCTTAATGTGATGTTTGATGAAGTGGTGACCGATGTGACCATTATTAGTGGCAGTGCTTGATCCTTGCAATCAGTTTCTTGACTAAACATGACCGAGAAGAGCCCATGAGCACATATGTCCCAAATTATTTAGTTAGTAAATTTACCATATAATCTCATTACTTACTTTATTGATAATGTAGACATTGAAAATTTAAACCCGACAAATGGGCTGATTAAAGTGTTATTGAGCCAATATTGAGATTGATGATTGGGCCAATTTAATTAATTGAATCATAGAAATTAATTTAAGTTAATGAGTCCAATTAAATTTGGTTTGGCCTATTGAATTGATTAATTAATTAGTCCAAGCCCATTTCATATTTGAATAATAAATTATAATTATAATTTAAATATAATATTAATTTTATTATATTTGAATTAGATAATTATAATTTAAATTGAATTTGAATTAGATTATACAATAATGAACCTGGACTTGATTCTGGGCAAGATTCATTTTCTAGAATAATTAATTAATTAATTAATTAATTAAAGGGGGAGTTTGTTGAGGAATGTTGGTTAGGCTCTTACTATAAATAGAGCCTTCACTTTCATTCCAAAACACACTTGAAAGCTGGAAGAACTTGAAGGCTTAAGGAGTTGAGAGCATTTGAAGAGCCCGAAGGCATTGAATAACGCTTGAAGTTGAAGGCATTTTTGTTGATTTTGCAGGCAATTTGAATCCATTGCAGGTACTTTGGAGCTTTGCAGAATTGATTGTCTCGAAGATATTGAAGTCTTTTGAAGGCGTTTGAGGATCTTAAAGCAGCTTGAATCCATTGCATGTGTTTTGAAACTTTGCAGGGTTGATTATTTCTAAATTCTTGACGCTCGTTGTTAGAAGTTACGCCACTTAAATCCCGGAAGCTACGCCACTTGAATCCCGGAGGCACGCGCAAATTGAATCCCGGAGGCACTTCCATAGATAACGTTAGTGAAGAATCAGAGGACTAGACAGAGATTTTGTACCTGCATTGAATTATACACACACTGTACAAGGAATTTTGTGGAATATATACAAAGTTTACTTTTTTTGTGTTTACAGATTTTGGCACGCCCAGTGGGACTACTCTGCCTCTCATCTCTTCACTATTGATTCACGAGCTCTACAAGGAAGGAATCCAGATGGCATCAAGAAATCCCTTCTCCAAGATGACCTATGCTCAAGCTACCCGCTCCAAGGCATCATCCGTGGCCAGTTCCGGTGATAGCCAAAATGTGGAAGGAGCAATGACTCGGAGCCGAGTGAGGAACCTAGGGGTGCAACTGAACGAGACCCAGAACATGGTTCGTAACATCGTCCGAAGGATTGAAAGCAACTCCACCAAGTCATGGGAAGTTGCATATGACAAGGGTTCATCTTCGACGAGGGAAACTATTGGCAGCAAGAGTATGACTCCCCCAAAAGGAACCCCTAGTAGCGGTAGCTCGTCTCCTACATCTCAATCATCACCTCTGCCGAAAACATCGTCGGAATTGACTCACACCTACACAGTCATGCCCGTTATGACGACGAACGCAGCTTCGGTGGAGGAACAACTAGCAAACATCACCAAAGCTCTTGAGGGGATAACTACGTTCATGCATAACCAAGAAAGGAGAATCAATGAGCTCAGTGAAAAGGTTGAAAGCGGAAGAAACGGCGAAACAAGTCGAGCTTCCGAGAAGCAGCCTCAAACCCAAGAGGATGAGATTGATGTCGAGTCACCGCGTCATGAAAGTAGGCCAGGAATTGAAGAGAGAATCTCTCGTCCACCACCCGCTGAGAAGAGTATTCCAATCTCTGAGGGCATGATACCTGTAGACCAGTTGAACGACTACATAATAATAATAATAATAATAATAATAATAATAATAATAATAATAAGAATAATAATAACAATAACAATAACAATAACAATAACAATAACAATAACAACAATAACAACAATAACAACAATAACAACAATAACAACAACAATAATAATAATAAGAATAATAATAATAATAATAATAATAATAATAATAATAATAATAACAATAATAATAATAATAACAATAATAACAATAACAATAATAACAATAATAACAATAACAATAACAATAACAATAATAATAATAATAATAATAATAATAATAATAATAATAATAATAATAATAATAATAATATAAACACAGTGGACCAACAGAAAGGTCCCCTTTTGAGTTTCATATACAGGAAACAAAAACACATGAAAAAGCTAACATAGTGGTCCCTTTTACATTTTAATTCACCTGGGAACACAAACACAGCTCACAAAAGCAGACACGATGAACACATGGACATCCATTTACAATTTAATATACTTGTTAAAGCATTAAAGAACATATAAAGCATGAAAGCAATATATAGAGCATAAACTACATATAAAGCAACCGTACGTACCGCA